TTTAAAAAATAAAAAAATAAAAGGATAGATAGACTTGGTTTTGGCAGAATCGCTAGTGAACCTTCTTAGTTACACAAATGTAAAATCCAGCCGGCAATGTCATCAAGTAACTCAAATGCCAATGTTTCTGTCTAAGATGTTAACTTTTCTGTTTATGCTCACTTTGTTCATTTCTGTCATGCTCATTTATGAAATGGTCGTATATTCTAGCAGAATGGTATCCAGGAAAATCTGGCTCCTGTTAGAGTCTTCTTCCTCGCTTTTATTTTCCTCCCTGAATCCAGGCTTAGACGTCCCTAGAACTGCCATATATTGTGTAGCCTGTGCAGTTTGTGTCCAGCGTTTTGAGCCTTTGTTTGTAGGGGCTATGATAAAATGCAGAAGTGGGATGGGATGAAAACTGGGCTCAAAAGGTAAGTGTGACTAGATTTTGAATCCTGGCTGGAATGACACATGGGTTACAGGAAACCCTGAACACATTATTCTCTTGTATAAAATTGCTCCAGGGCTTCTTAGAATAAAGACAAGGTCCTTTAACAACAGCTGCCTAGCTGTCTGGCACCTCTTGTGGATACACAGAGCCCACACACTCAGACATTCATGCATACATACAATGCACATAGGCACACATGCGGACAGCGGCTCATGCATGCACACATACACACATGCACACCATACATACATGTGCACACACACATGCTCGTGAGCACACACATACATGTGGACACTAACACACACATGCAGCCACACTCAGGACTTCCTGCAGCCATGTGGCTGTCTCCTCTGCCTGACACATCTTGACCTGCCCCCAGAGCTCTCCCTGCCCCTCACCTGGCTGGCCCCATGCATGCCTCACTGCCTCTAAAACCTCTTCTAACCCCCTTGGATGGGACCACTTACCCTCCCCACCAGCCCGGCTCCCTGGTGCTGCCTGAATGAGAGGTTATGACACTGTTTTCCAATCACTTATTTACTAGTCTCTGGCTCCCAACTACCAGTTGTAAATAGTGGATGAGACCTAAATTTCTCCCAGAAATTTACACAGTCATAGCTCTGATTGGCTGGTTTCAGAATGAAACCTTTGGTGTGGTCGCCAGAGAGGAGGAGGAATTTAAAAAATGAGTCTTGGGAGGTGGAGGAAGAACATTCCTGGCATCTCTGAACTGTATTTATCAGAAGTTACTTCCATTTCCTACTCTTAAATCCCAGTGCCAGAACATCCCATCATTATTCATAATAGAGCCTTGCAGAACTTCAGTCCAAGGCTCCCTGAGTGCTGTTTGGAGTGTCTTCTAGTCATTCTGTAGTAAGCAGTCAATACATGTTGGCTTTTATTCCTAACATCTGGTCTCCCCATACTACAATATCCACACCTTTAAAGGGTGGGGACTGTGTCTCCCAAATCTCTTGCGTCCTCTTTGTCTCCCAGGCACTAATATAGAATTTGCATATAATAGATGTTCAAAATGTTTTTTTTTTCTTAGAGAACTTGATCCAATTTACCTTTCTCTGTGAACTGTGCCCACAGCCACCCAGACATACCCAGTCCCTGTCTCAGTCGTGGGCCCTGCACCAAGTTGGATCAAGTTGAGTTACCATGAGTGAAGGAGATGAGCAGGCATGGGGAGGTGACAGGGGCTAGGCAAACCTTGGAACCAAAGCACCAAAGCTGATCCCAGGGCAGTGCCAAACAGAAGGCAGGTGGGATGTGAGGGGGAGTGAAGAGGAAGCTGGAGGAGCTGAAGCTCTAGTAGCAACTGGGTTGGTCCAATGTTGACCTCAGGGGCCCAGGCTTAAAATCCAGGGCCTGCTTGAAATACTTGGATGATTCCTCCAGGTCTCCTGGATAAGTGTAACTTCCCTCACAAGGCATTCATAGCCAGGCCCCGCCTAACTTCTCATCTTCATTTTCTACTCCTCAGCCATAAGCCCTGGGTCCCAGCACGTGATTTTCTACTCCTCAGCCATAAGCCCTGGGTCCCAGAAGTGCTAGGAGCTCTTCTCCATCACACCTCCCAGAGTCGTTCTCTCTGCCTAGAAATGCCCATACCCACACTCTCTGACTGGAAAACTACTCTTTCTTTGAGGCCCAGACTAAGCACCCTTTCCTTTTCGAAGCCCTGCCCAGCCCTCTCTGCTAGCTCTGCCTCTGTGCCACAGTGGGCACCATCCACCATGCTACCATGGCTCTCCTTACACTCTCTCCTGAACCATCGGCAAGACCCAAGTGATCATCCACCAATCCATTCGAGACTTTGTACTTCTTCAACACTTTTGGTGTTCCAGCAGCTACTCTGGGTACTGGTGACCTGAAATTGAACAGAGCATGCCCTCCAAAAGCACAGAGTAGTCTCAACACATAAACACACAGGTATGACATGATAGCCAGGTGATAAAGTAATTGGGGCATATGCAGGCAATGGAGAGGCAGGGTAAGAATCTGAACTTATTAAAGACATCAGGCCAGCATGTCTCTCCTCAGCTAAAACCCTTCCCATAGCTTCCCTTCACACTTAAAGATAAACTGAAGCGCTCATTTTGCCTTTAAGGCCCCCAGGACCCAGCCCCTGCTGGTCTTGATCACCTCCTAACCCTCTCCCTTGTTCTCCAGGCTCCAACACCCCTGCTTCCCACTGCTGTTTGGACACACCAAGCCCCTTCTGTTTCAGAGCCCGTATGCTTGCTATTCCTCTGCCTCATCACTCCTAGTCCCACTCACTCCTGTCCTTCAGCCTCAGCTCAGATGTCACCTCCTCAAAGAGTCACCTCCCCTGCCCACCTTCTCCAATGTTATATCTCTCAATACTTACCGCCCTCACCCTCTATCATGTAAATTGCCCTTGTTTGTTTGTTTTCTTCTTTGATTATTTGCCTATTCAATGTTTCCCACACTCAATTATCAGCTCCAAAGAAGCTTGTTCTTGTTTACCATCCTTTCCCCAACTCCCAGAATAAGAGTGGAATAAAAATGTGTGGAACAACATTGGGGTCAGATGGGCCAGAATGACCTTGAGTTCCATCATGTACAGCTCATGCGACTTTCAGCAAGTTATTTCACCCCTTCTAGTTCAGTGTCCTCATCTGTCAAATGGGCAAAAATGCTTGCCTTGCAGGGTGGTTCTGAGGGTGATGACAGCCTGTCCTTGAATGCCCTGGCCCCTGGGTCATGTTGCATGGACGCTGAGTAGTTACACAGAAGAGGAAGAGTGCCAGCAGCCCACCACTCTGAGTGCCGACACCATGGGCTCTCTGCCCTAGTCTGCACCCGACCCCAGATTGTCTGTGAAATGGAGAGAGATTTGGGCTCCGAAGACAAGTATCAGTCCTAACTGCAAACTCTCAGCCAAGTCCCAGACCTGTAGTGTTGGCTGGAACAAGTCACCTCAGCCCATTAGCTCCACCACAGCCTTAAACTCAACACACCCAGTACAAACTCGCCATCTGTCCCTCACTGCTCCTCCTTGTCCTCACATGCCAAAACCAGCAGACAACCAGTGGCATTGATCAATCGGTCAAATGACTGATTCACTGTGAAATATCTGATAGGCAAATCACAAGACTTGAACTAAAACTACAATTGTGAGGAGCCCATGACATTGTCCACCCAGGGACAGAGGGGGAGAGCTAGGTTCTGCCTGCAGCTTCTGGCTGTTTCTAGAAGCTCTGGAGCAGATGGGCTGCAGGAAAAGCTGTAGGCAGCCTTCTAAGAACTCACTGAGTGACCCACACACCTTTCATTAAACACTGTTCACAGGGGCCTACTAAGACTTTGTACTATTTTCCTATTGCTGCTATAACAAATTACCACAAACTTGGTGGCTTAAAACAACACACATTTATTATTTTACAGTTCTGGAGGTCAGGTGTCTGAAATGGGTTCACTGTACTAAAATTCAACTGTTTCTCCTGGAAGCTCTAGGGGAGAATCCTGTCCCTTGCATTATCTGGCTTCTGGAAACCACCAGCATTCGCGGGCTGGTAGCCCCCATCCTCTACATTCGAAATTAGCAGCATAGCATTTTCCAGTCTCTGGCTCTCACCCTCCTGCCTCGCTCTTATGAGGACCCCTGTGGTTACACTGGGCCCACTGGGATAATCCAGGATGGTCTCCCCATCTCAAGATCCTTACCTTAATCACATTTGCCAAGTCCCTTTTGTCTTGTAAGGTAACGTATTCACAGATTCTGGGGATTAGGATGTGGATATCTTTAGAGGGGCATTATTCTGCCTACCACAAATCCTAAGCAGGATGAGCTTGGTTTGGGGGCGCCAGCCTGGAGCTCAGCCTCCTGCCGCCTCCCTACCGACTCTGTTCGAAGTAGAACTCAGTGTGGGCCAATGGCTCACTCTCCTTGACAAGTCGTATTGGCTGCTGGGACTCAGCTGGGCCACAGAGAAACCAGCCAGGCCAGGCCGCGGCCTCAAGCCTGAAGGCTGAGCCCGAGCTTCTCTGGAAGAAGGTGAAGCGTGTGGCTTCTTCACCACCCTTGTACAGATCCTCGATGTTCACATCCTGTGGGGGGCAAGATGGCTGCTGCAGGATAAGGCCACTGGTTGAGATATCAGCCCTAGAGGCCCCCAGGGGGTGGCCAGTGAGGGACTTTACAGGGAGGGTCAGTACCCAGGGCAGTGCTTTCTGCAGGTTCTGGAGGGCAGGGGTTTTGGCACTAGGTGCAGAGGGAAAGGGAGGCATGTGTGGACTTGGCTGGGAGTCCACAGATGGGTACAGAGATGCCAGAGCACCCAGGAAGCCAGGCCATGTCTGTGGGGCACCCCAGAATATGGTGTGGTTTCTCACCTCCAGCTGCAGGGTAGGACCCTCTCCTGTCTCCACACAGGCTAGGCAGCGACTGCCTCCCTGGATCCCCAGGAGGATGGGGACTTTGGTGCGGTCCAGGCCTCTGTTGGGAAGTATGCAGATCTTCTCTGGGAGGAAAGAGAGAAGAGAGCCAGAAGATGAGAGGACCTAGATGGCAAGCTCTCAGCGAGCTACACCTGGGCAGAAAAGAGCTGGCTCAGGGCACACCTGGCTTGACCCCTGCATGCAGGCTGTGGGACAGGCTGGGACCCCTGCAGCGGTCATGACACCCTCAGAAGGAGAGGTCCTCAGCGGCTCCCTGCCTCTTCTCACTGTCACCAGAGGCAGAGGGAAGGGGAGAGCCGGTGGCAGGTGGAGCATGGGTGTGTCTGAGGGGATGGAGGCCCCAGTGGCTCACCTGCACAGCAGTTGTCCAAATTGGGATCTCCCACCAGGAGCTGGTCACCTCTTAAGTATAGAGCCTTCTGATCTGCATCCTTAATTCTGGAACAAGATGGTTGTGCTGACGACCTGCTCCCTTCAGGCACCACCAAGCCCCAAAGTCTTCCCGCCCCCATGCTCTGAAGTACCACACTGAGCATTTAGGTGTTCTTCTCTCCTATAGGTGAGAAGTAGGTGCATGACTCCACCCAAGAGCGGGTAAAAACAGGTCAGCCTTAAGGCAAGGGAAGGTCTTCTGGAGCTCGTGATTCTCAGAGGCTCCCTTTACCAGCGTTGGCCTCTGTCAGGAGTCCTGGGGCAGTGAGGAAAGCCAGTGCCTTCTCATTGATGGGTAGACAGAGTTTTCCTGATTATGCTAGCCCCTTTTCATGCCCTTCCTGAGAAATTTCCCAATGAGGCTCAGATGTCTCTAGGATACAGTGAGCCTTATCCCAGATTTTCTGGGCCTGACCCAATTTTGCATAAATGTTTTATTTTCTTCAGTGAAGAAGATTAATTGAATGTATAATAAAGTGTGGTTTGTGGGGCCCCTGGGTGCCTCAGTCAGCTAAGCGTCCGACTCTTGATTCTGGCTCTGGTCTTGATCTCAGGGTCATGAGATCAAGCCCCATGTCAGGCTCTGTGCTTAGCGCGGAGTCTGCTTGAGATCCTCCCTCCCTCTCCTCCTGCCCTTTGCATGTGTTCTCTCTCTCTCTCTCTAAAATAAATAAATAAATAAAATCTTTTAAAAAATAAAGTGTGGTTTGCTTTTCAAATATTTTAAAGGCTTTTTTATAGAACAAAATTCACAAATCAGAAAAAAAAAATCCTATGTGACAGTGGGTGTGCCAACATGGCCACCCTGTTCCATGCAAGGTGTATTCTGGGGTGGCCCCGTGTTATGGGTGCCAAATTTAGGAGGTCAGCAAAGAGCTGGGGCAGGGTGTGATTACAGTCATTTGGGGTTGGCGATGGTTCCAATCATCAGCCTGGGAGGGTAAATATGTGTTGGGGAACAGGGAGGAAACCATGGTGAGCGTGTGCAACATCAAAGTCATGCAGGTTATTAGCTCGCAGGTTATTATGTCGGTGGCTTGGCTGGTTTCAAAATGTCAGCCGCTCTCAGGACCTGGGGAGCCCTCCCTATCTCCAAGGGCAGAACCTCTGGGCCAACACCATTACCTCCAGATTTTTTTTATCTCAGTAACAACTAATTATAATACCCTTAGCCAATGACTGTATGTGTATAAAGAAGGTTCACTTGTACAATAAAAATAAAGATCTGAAAAGAGCCTGGGTTTGCCATTCTCTCTCCAACCTGGGCAACCAGGACTTGTGCGGAACTCATCTGCCAGCAACATTCTCTTTGAAGACCAGAATCCAAGTTAGATACCCCAAGGTGCTGACATCTGTTTTGTCATGTGGGTGCTTCATGCACATGTGTCTTGCCTCCCCAGGCACATTGTAACTTCCTGGAGGCCCCAACTGGCCCCCTGGTATCTAGGACAGGGCAGGCCCATGGAGGTGCTGAGGAAATGTGACCCAGAAGTCAGTCCTGTTTTATTTGTGTTATGTCTCATCTCATTCCTCAAAGGGCTGGAGACAGTTTACGAGAAATCACAGGCAATAAAGTATAAACTATAAGGAAAGTCTCAAATGTCAAATGAGGTAAAAGGGATAGTTGGGAGTGCAGACAGGGAGGAAAGGCCACAGAGGCCAACATATAAAGATGCCGTCACTGAGATTCAAAATTGTCTCTGAGCTCTTGGAGAGAGGAGGACAGAGCGGCATAAGGGGTGAGTCCTGGCTCTGTGTGACATGAGGTAATTTTTTTAACATCTTTGAGCTTCAGTTTCCAAATCTGAATGGATTCAGTCATGCCCCCCTTGTAGGTTACTCAGGAGGGAGGCAAGGCAGCAGAAGGGCTAGCATCTTGCAGATGGTCAGGAAAGAGAGCTATTGTGATGAGGATGATGATTAAGCTTAATTATGGGGTACTTGAGATTTCTTGGGTGAGATGGAGCCGCATCCCTCCCCTCAGCCTTCTTTCCCTCTTCCCACATCATCCCCAGGCCCCTGGTTTAGAGAGGGAGGACTCCAGGAAGACTTACGTGTAGTATCTTGCCATGGGGAGGGAGCACATTCCTGCAATTGTGGGCGACTGGTCCTTGCTGAGGGGGAAGGAGAGAAGGGCTGTCAGAGAAGGGTGGGTAGAGCTGGGGGGCAGGCCCCCTGGGGGTCCCCAAATCACCAAATCACAGGGTGGAAAAATCTCACTAGGCTGCTTATCTATAACTGGCCTGCCAGAGTCCTCCATGATCTCCCCAGCTCAGCAAGTTCCAGGCAGCTCTGTTTCACCCTCCTTTGGGGCCATCTGACCGGGGTGTGAGCCCATGACGTGTGCATGGTGCTAGCTTGGGGAAACCGAAGAACAGGTTCCCCAAAGAGTTTAGACAGGAGTACTTCCTGGAGCTGAGATTGAGGTGGGGTATGCTCCAGCCTCACAGTTTGAGGATGAGCTGGACTCAAACCCTGTCCCACTGCCCAGCCTGGCACTAAAGTCACCTGAAGATTCTGATTCGCCAGGGCTTGAAGTGACTCCATGACAAGCCAGCCTTGGGAACTGGTATACCATCTCAGTTTTTCTCACTCTCCAGTGAACATATAAATCACCTGCCAGTTCTGGTTCCCTGGGTCTGGGCTGGAGCCTGAGACTGTGCATTTCAAACATGCAACCAAGTGATATGAACACTGCTGGTCCCTGGCCACACTTTGAGTAGCAAAGGACTAGATAGAGGATCTCCCAGCCCAGACAGGCCATCAGCAGTGTGGCCTCAATGCAAGCACACTTGATGCTGTTCTCTCTCTCAGCCAAACTACTGGGGCTCTTTTGGTTGCAGCAGCAAAACTAATGGGCAGGCTAGTAGCTATACCAAGGTCTGGCCGGGACAGATCAAGTGGAGGGCTCTGTGTGAGGATGATGACTCCCACTCTTGGTCAATGTGAGCACAGGGGCAGGCAGAAATTCAGTGCTGGTCCAGTCTAGCTGGATCTCCAGGGGCCCCAGAAGCCTCCTGTCCTGGCCCAACCCCCAAATCCCAGTATTTCTCCCAAAGACTGCCATATCAGGCACCCCCTCCTGGGTTCTGGCTAGACTGTGATGAGGTGAATAGGAGTGAGAAGCCAGCTTCTAGTCCATCAGAGAGCCTGGGGTCCTGGTGCTAAGCATCTGCCATGGTCCCTCCCAATGCACCACACACTCCATCCCCTAAGCTTTCCATTCCCTATTGTCCCCAGGTGATCTTTCCCTGAACTCTGGCCTATTGTCCTCCCTGGACACCATCTCTGGCTGTCTCAGACTTCATCAATCCACCTGTCCTGAGTCAAAAACCGCCACCCAAGTAGCACTGAGCTTTCTCCATCACATCCTCTCCTTGCTCTCCTACACGCTTTCTATGTGGACTATGTTCTCTCCAAGACCAATATTAACTTCTGTGGAGCCAAATCAAAAGACTCTTTTGATTCTTCTGATATTTGGCTTCTGCCTCCTCAGAGCTCTTGACATTAATTGACTCCCTTCACACTTCCATTTTCCCCTTCTCAGGTCTGTGTAGATTCTCCTTTCCATTTGGTGGTGTCCCTAAGGCTGGAAGCCACAAGTCTAAGTTCTAAGCACTTCTCTCTCATATCCCATGAGTTGCCATTCATCCACTTCCATAGCTGCAGTGATCATATTGGTCTAAAGCCTCCCAAGTCCCAATTGAACATGATACTTTATCTCCAACAGTCTATAGGACACCTCCCTTTGGACTTCCTGCCATTACACCCAACCAAATAGATCTGAAGTCAAATCAATCTTCTCCTCCTCCCAGCCCATTCATCTCCCCCCTTCTCCTTACTCTATGTCTGATTTGCTAGCAAGTTCTCATAAATTATTCTTTAAAATGTAATTTTGTCTTCTTTTTTTAAAGATTTATTTACTTATTTGAGAGAGAGAGAGAGCACATGCACATGAGTGGGAAGAGGCAGAGGTAGATAGAATCTCAAGCAGACTCCATGCTGAGCATGAACCTGAGCTGAAATCAAGAGTTGGATGTTTAACCAACTGTGCCACCCAGGTGCCCCTAAAATGTAACTTTGTCTTAATAGCCATTGTACCTGTGCCTATATTCCTGGCTTTTCTACCTTCAATCCAGCCCAACCTATGTGAGGTACCTGGACCTATATTCTAGGTATTGCTTTCACAACATCTCCACCCAGCTCTAGAGTCTACAGTGGCTGCCCATTTCATCACCATCTGGCCCTGATTCACGTGTATGAGTGTATCTCACTTCTCTGTGGACACTAAACCACCCCTCCAGGCACATGCCTTCTTTCTTCCCTGTGGGCATGCTCACAGTTGTCTTTGATTTCCCTGCCTCAAAAGTCATCCCCCCTCCTTGCCGTCCATTCAGGTCTTTTGGCATTAGAGGCACTGGATATGGTATCATTTATCTATAGGTTGAGTCTCTAGTTCTGCCAAATTAATTATCAGGTCAGAGTAACAGCTCAGACATACAAGGTTATGTCACATCACCTCCACTTCTCAGTTTCAGCATCTATAAAATCATGGAATTAGAGTCTGTGGTTATTAAGATTCTTCCAGATCAAACGATCTATGATTCCATGACTCAGAGTTTAATGAATCTTTCCTTTACTCTTGCAACCCTACTCTGAAATCCTATTAGATTTCACTGTCTTATGTATTGTTCTATATACAGACATTTGTTTCCCTTATAAAAGTTAACAATATCTTGATCCATGAAGTGTGGCCTGTAGCTCCCTCCAACCACCCTGACACACATATATGCTTACAAGCAAGACATAGAAACACACAGAGAAGATTTCAATGGCCAGGTTGGGTTCTAGACCTAGCTTTGCTAACAATTTGGCTTGCTACCTTAGAAAGTCCCCTTTAGTCCCTGGGCCTCCAACTTGTTATCATTAGGAAGAGAGGCCGGGCAAGGTCAGTATTTTTCAAAACTAAGTTTCACAATGAAAATTTACACAGAAATCTAATGAAAGTAAAATGGATAAAGGGAACTTGCTTTTGCTGAATCAGAGAATGAGGGTGATACCAGAACCCTGTCTTTGACCACTAAAGCAGGCACTGGGCACATCTAACAAACCCCAAGCCTCACCACACAATGGTGAATACCACTGGCCTGGTTGATTTCTTCTGAAATTACTTCCTAAAATCTATGGTTCTAAATATTTAAAAATCTTGACTTGGTTTAACCCATGCTTTCTCTCAAATTCTTTCTATGTGCTCCCAGACTTATTTAGCATCCCATGATGTTCTGTGGAGGGGATACCTTGTTATCTAAAGAGCTTGCCAGGAGGAGTTAAGGGAGGGGGCATACCAGAGATATTGACAGAAAGGAGAAGGAAAGTGAGAAGGAGAGATAGAATACTGCCTATGAACCACTGACCTGAAATCCTGGGTGCCTGGAACATCCAACTGATTTCTCCAGGGCATCTGCCCCGAGTTTATACTGTCTGGTCAGGGTGGCTCAAGCCTCCTGCAATCTTTATAATTGGCTCTAGGTTGGGAAAGAAGAGCCTAGGGATTTCACAATGTCTTTAGCACAGTATGGATAATGAGAAGGTGGGGGCATTAATGAGTGTTTGTTGAAGGGGGAGAGAGTCACCCATAAAGCCTGGCAGAAGCCAGTCACTGGGCCCCTGCTCATAGCTACTATCATTGACACTGTTATTGGTGGTTTCAATAGCCAGATAAATAGTCTTGGGGTCAGATGTCTTCATATCACCTTCCTGTTGGTGCCCCATGAGGGTCCATCCTAGGCTTAGAGAGGTAGAAGAGGCAAGAGGGGATGTGTTTAAGGGGCCCAAGGACAGAGCAACCTCTGGTGTTTTAAGCCAGGCTGCAGCCAGCAAGACAACATGAGAGAGGGGACTGATGGCATTGGGAGTATGGCCCTGTTTGGAAAGAGGGGAGGGAAGTCTCTGCTTTTCAACAAGTCCTATTAGCTGTTATCAGGTTGATGAGAGAGAACATTTAAGGAAACCCACCTGCAGAGGACATTGACCTTAGATCCATCCTGGGACTGGGCAGCCATCGTGTTCCCTGGAGGGTTAGGACACATGACACCGTGTAAGCAGGGCAGGTGTAAAGAGCACCATGTGAGCAGGGCAGGAGTAAAGAGAATACTCAAGCCTCTAATCAATATTACTTAACTCAGTCTATCCATCCACCTGTCTGTCCAACCATCCAACCATCCATCCATCTGTCTACTTGCAAGGGGTGGAGAAGCTTGGCATAGTGTTCTCTGGGGACCATCTGCCTTACCATAATTCTCACTCTTAGGTCATTCAAAGGGCCTGGTAAGAAAGTAGGAGAGGCCAATCCACACGTAGATGCTTAAAGAGTGAAAGATAAGAAAAGATGGGCAGGGAGGGGACCCAATTTCTGTTTCCTAAGGCCAACAGTCATTCTTCACCCCTCTCCCAATCTATCTCTCATCTCTCTGTGGAAAGGGCCAATGCATGGGGTATTATGCCAGGCAGTCAATGAGCATTTACTGAGTATTTACACTGCTGTGTGACAAAGATGTGCAATGCATGGTCCCCGTTGTTAGGTAGCTTTACAGTCCAGCTGGGGAGCTAAGTCATAAATATTTAAAAAAATAATTAAGAAGACTGGGCTCTCTAATCTGCAGGACAAGGGCATATTGGAAACAACAGAGGCAGAGAATCTCCTTGAGTAAAAAAATTCCTAGAATTGAAAGGGCCTTAGACATGGCATATAGGATCCCTCCAAAGGGAGAAATCTGTGCTACAGCACCCCCGAGACATAATTAATCAGGCTCTTCTTCAATACCTCCACAACTTCTTGAAGAAACCCTAGCAGTGTGTGTGGTCCTTGCGGTTAAAATTTTTGGGTCACACGTAATTTCTACTCATCAGTCCTGCTTGTGCCTCCTGGAATTACACAGAACAAGTTTATTTTTCTACTAGGCAGAGCTTTGAGTGTTTGAATGGGGCTTTCTGTGTATTGCTTCTCCAGGATAAAGACCCTCAGCTTCCTAGCCTCTACCCTAATGACTTGATTGTGGGACACTCTCAACTATTCAGAACACACTCTTAGTCCTCAATGCCTATGCCTTGCACAAATGCCATGTGATGTGGGCATAATATCTCTGTAAATACAGGTCAAGCTGGGGACTTATATTGAAATTGAAGAAATCTAAAACCACTATGTCTTTTTCATATGAACAATTATGATGCCAAGGTCCCCCAGCCCATACATTCTGTTTTACTTTCCTTCTTTTTCTATTGACTCATGTCAGCTCATCCCTGCTAAAACCATTTTGAATTCTACCATCTTACAAATGATGAATCAATCACTTCAGGCTGGAGAAAGCTTCCAGACTGAGGTGAAATTTCAGCTGCTCCTTGAAGGGTGGGCCCATTTAGATGGGTGGAGGAGAGAGAAAGAATAGTCCAGGGTGGAGGAATAGTTTCCACATTCTATACTTGCCGGTTTCCAATTATTTGTCAAATGTTATTTGAGATCCTTGGAAACAAATAAATACAGCCTTGACCTTGAGGTCTTTTCAGGGGCCATAGACCCCAAATCAATTATTACAATGAGGGGGAGTTGGCATAGCAATGTAGCACAGTCAGAGCAGATGACCAGAGATCTCAATTCAGCAAAGTTTTCTTGGAGGAGGTGACAATATGAGACTATGGCTGGGCCCATGGGCAAAGAAAGAGTGTGAAATGGGTCTGCAGAAACAAGCCTGGTGCCCAGAGCCTGTGTTCTCGGCACTCCTGAGAGGCCTGTGGCAGGACTTGTGCTGTCGGCTACCCAAGGGCTTTGGCTGCATCTGAGCCTCAGTAGCTCCACAGAGACAGACCCTTCTGGTCTGGCCACCTCCTTGCTAGTGCTTCAGCAGAATCTGAACCTGCCAGGCTGGTCTGACCGGTGAGGTGCAGGAAGAATACCTGGGGCTCAGATTTAGGCCTCTCCTCTGGCTTCTGTTCTGATCCCTTAGAGTTTAGGCAGGCATGCTGGAGTCATAATCCCTGGCATGTCAGACTGGAGGTGCAAAGGTAGTCAAGGAAGAGCTAAACCTTGCAGACACTGAGAATATTCAATAACTTTAGTATGATCAGCTTTTAAATAGAATGTTTGGAGAAACAAAAGGGCTGATGTTGATTTTGAGAAGGAAAATGAAAATATTGAAGAAAACTGCAATCATAATAAAATAAATGCATTTATTTCTCTTTTCCTATGTATTAGTTATCTATTGCTGTGTAACAAGTTGGGGCACCTGGATGGCTCAGTCAGTTAAGCATCCGACTCTTGGTTTCAGCTCAAGTCATGATCTCAGGGTCCTGGGATTGAGCCCTGCGTCAAGCTCCACCCTCAGCAGGGAGTCTGCTTGAGATTCTCACTCTCCCTCTCCCTCTGCCCGCCCCTGCCCTGTGTGCACTCTCTCTCTCTCTGAAAAGATAAATAAACAAATCTTTTTTTAAAAAAAACCTTAGCAACTGAAAGTAACAAACATTTATTTTCTCACAGTTTCTGAGAGTTGGAAATCTAGACCAGTTTAGCTAGGTGGTTCTGCTTCAGAGTCTCTCTTGAGGTGGCAATCGAGCTGTCAGCCAGAGTTGCATCATCTGAAGGCCTGACTGTGGCTGGGAGAGCTGCTTTCAAATGCACTCATGTGGCAGTTGGCAGGAAGCTTCATTTTCAACACATGGGTCTCTCTATAGGGCTGCTTATGAGATGGCAGCTGGCTTCCCCCAGAACAAGTAAACAAAGAAACAGACAGAGAAAACAAGATAGAAGCCGCAGAGTCTTTTTTATAATCTAATCTCAAAAGTAGCATATTACTTCTGCCACATTCTGTTAGTCACAGAGACAACACGGGTACAATGTGGGAGGGGACATACACGATGTGAGATGGGGTCAGCAGCAGCTGTGTTTATGTCGTAGGGCTGCCATAACCAATTACCACAAAATTGGTGGTTTAAAACAATGAAAATTTTTGCTCTCATAATTCAGGAGACTAGAAGGCTGTCCTCCCTCTGAAGGCTTTAGGGAAGAATACTTCCTTGCCTCTTCCTAGCTTCTGGTGGTTGCCTCAGTCATGGTATTTCTTGCCTTATTGCCGCATAAGTGCAATCTCTGCATCCATCTTCACATAGCCTTCTTCCTGGGTCTCCTGTGTGTCTCCTGTTGCATATGCAGTCATGCTGGATTTAGAGCCCATCCGAATACAGCATGACCTCTTAACTAATTACATCTGCAAAGAACCTGTCTCCAAATAAGGCCCCAGTCTAAAATTTCCAGAAGGACATGAATTTCAACCAGCATGGGACCCTTTGGAGGCTGAAACCCACACCTTGCAATCTCAGGGGGCTATGACCACTCTAGGTCCAGGATTATTCTTTCTATAAATTCCTTTTCCAGGAGATTCCAACCACACTAACTCATCATATTCTCTTTCTTCACAGCTTTGCTGAGGTCTGTGTACTGATTCTGTCGCTGCTGACCAGAGCAGCAGAGCTCAATTCAGTTTGAATTTCACTCAGGGAAGTAGATGCTGAAGATGATTAGAAATATTGTCTGCTCTCTTTTCCTCAAGATTAACTTACTTATTACACAAAAAGTTCATCTTCATTGTAGAACAATTAGAAAATGTTTAAATAAAGGAATACAAAGAAAAATTACCTGTAATTGCTAAATTAACATTGCTAAAATTGAAGTAAACTCTTTTGGACTTTTTTTCTATGAAGAAATATATAGAGGGTGCCTGGGTGGCTCAGTTGGTTAAGCGACTGCCTTCGGCTCAGGTCATGATCCTGGAGTCCCGGGATCGAGTCCCACATCGGGCTCCCTGCTCAGC